AACCAAAAAAGAAAACTATAGACCCATATCCTTAATGAACATAGATGCACATATTCTCAGCAAGATACTTGCAAACTGCATACAGACACATCAAAAAGATCATCCACCATGATCAAGTCGGCTTTATCCCAGAGATGCAGGGATGTTTCAATATATGTAAGGCAATAAACATCATAAATCATATAAATGGGCCCAAAGAGAAGAACCACATGGTCACCTCAATAGATGCAGAGAAGGCCTTTGACAAAATTCAATATGCATTTTTGACCAAAGTCCTAGAGGGAATTGGACTGGAGGGAACATACCTCAACATAATTAAAATCATATATAAAAAAACCCAAAGCCAACATCATTCTAAATGTAGGAAAACTGGAAGCATTCCCATTGAAATCAGGAACCAGACAAGACTGTCCACTATTTCCACTTCTCTTTAACATAGTGTTTGAAACTCTTGCAAGAGCAATAAGACAAGAGAAGGAAATTAAAGGAGTAATAATTGGAAAAGAAGAGATCAAATTATCCCTTTTTGTAGATGATATGATATTATATCTAAGAGATGCCAAAAATTCCAAGAGTGAGCTCCTAGAAATTATAAGCACGTTCAGGAATGTGGCTGGTTATGAAATTAACCTACAAAAGTCTGTAGCCTTTCTGTATACAAATAACAAGCAATCAGAGAAAGAGCACATGGAAACACTCCCTTTTACAATAGCTTCAAAAAATAAAATATCTTTGAATAAACCTGACTGAAGACATTAAACACCTCTACAATGGAAATTTTAACTCCTTAAAAAAAGAGACTGAGGAAGACATCAGAAGATGGAAGGACCTCCCATGCTCATGGATTGGAAGAATTAATATTGTGAAAATGACCATCCTACCAAAAAGCCATTTAGAGATTCAACGCAATGCCAATCAAAATCCCCATGACATTTTTCACAGAATTTGAAAAAACTATCCTAAGAGTCTTATAGAAGTGCAAAAGACCTCAGATATCGAAAGAAACCCTGAGCATTAAGAGCAATGTCAGGGGGATTATTATACCAGATTTTTTTTTTTTCTTTTTTGGTCTTTTTGAGACAGGGTCTTCCTGTAGCCCCAGGTGGCCTAGATTTGCTAAGGAGATCAGGCTGGCCTAGAACTTTCAGAGATTCACTTGCCTCTGCCTCCTGAGTGCTGGGATTAAAGGCATGCACCACCACACCCAGCTACTATACCAGATTTTAATCTGTATTACAGAGCTATAGTCATAAAAACAGCATGGTACTGGCACAGAAATAGACCCGTAGATCAATGGAACAAAATTGAAGACCAAAATATTAGTACATACAATTTCAGCCACCTGATATTTGACAAAGGGGCCAAAAATATTCACTGGAAGAAAGACAGCATGTTCAGCAAATGGTGCTGGCAAAATTGGATCTCCTCCTGTAGCAGAATGAAACTAAACCCCTATCTTTCACCCTGCACAAAAGTCAATTCCAAATGGATCAAAGACCTCAATGAAAAGCCTGAAACTCTGAAACTGTTAGAAGAAAACATTGGCAAAAACCTACAAGATAAAAGCGTAGGAAAGGATTTTCTAAAATGGACGTCAATTGCTCAGGAAACAAGATCAAGAGTCAACAAATGGGACCTCATTAAACTAAAATGTTTCTGTACATCAAAGGAGGCAACCAGGGAACCAAACAGAAAACCTACAGAATGGGAGAAAATCTTCACCAGCAAAACATCTGACAGAGGTTTAATAACCAGAATTTATAAAGAACTCAAAAAACAGAGAACCAAGACAAGAAGTAACCCAATTAAAAGATGGGCTAAGGAGCTGAAGAGAG